AGAGATGGCCAGAACGATTCGCCTGCTAATGCTGATCAAGAATATATATAATTTATAGGGTCGGAAATGGCTCCTTCACTGATTAAAATTATATTTTCCTCTGCAAGATTCCTAAAATCGGTATTTTTATTTGATAATTATTTTTAACGCGATTTTTTTACATCATATTTTTTGGGACAATCAAAGTTTAAAAATCGCATAACTTTGCCAAACATTAATTTCAATTTGGAAAGCCTTCCTGTGTTAGTTGTTTGGCGCTTAACAAATCTGCATACTAAACTAAATTTTTTAGGAGATCCAATTTTTTTTAGATTTTTGCGATGTAACCCCTTGAATTTTTTCAAAAAATTGGAAATGTCTGTTTTGCTACCAGAGATGGCCAGAACGATTCGCCTGCTAATGCTGATCAAGAATATATATAATTTATAGGGTCGGAAATGGCTCCTTCACTGATTAAAATTATATTTTCCTCTGCAAGATTCCTAAAATCGGTATTTTTATTTGATAATTATTTTTAACGCGATTTTTTTACATCATATTTTTTGGGGACAGCCAAAGTTTAAAAATCGCATAACTTGGCCAAAAATGCATTAATTTCAATTCGGAAAGCGTTCCTGTGTTAGTTGTTTGGCGCTTAACAAATCTGCATACAAAACTTAATTTTTTAGGAGATCCAATTTTTTTTAGATTTTTGCGATGTATTGGAAAAAATTGGAAATGTCTGTTTTGCTACCAGAGATGGCCAGAACGATTCGCCTGCTAATGCTGATCAAGAATATATATAATTTATAGGGTCGGAAATGGCTCCTTCACTGATTAAAATTATATTTTCCTCTGCAAGATTCCTAAAATCGGTATTTTTATTTGATAATTATTTTTAACGCGATTTTTTTACATCATATTTTTGGGGACAGCCAAAGTTTAAAAATCGCATAACTTGGCCAAAAATGCATTAATTCAATTCGGAAAGCGTTCCTGTGTTAGTTGTTTGGCGCTTAACAAATCTGCATACAAAACTTAATTTTTTAGGAGATCCAATTTTTTTTAGATTTTTGCGATGTATTGGAAAAAATTGGAAATGTCTGTTTTGCTACCAGAGATGGCCAGAACGATTCGCCTGCTAATGCTGATCAAGAATATATATAATTTATAGGGTCGGAAATGGCTCCTTCACTGATTAAAATTATATTTTCCTCTGCAAGATTCCAAAAATCGGTATTTTATTTGATAATTATTTTAACGCGATTTTTTTACATCATATATTTTGGGGACAGCCAAAGTTTAAAAATCGCATAACTTTCTCAAAAATGCATTAATTTTAATTCGGAAAGCGTTCCTGTGTTAGTTGTTTGGCGCTTAACAAATCTGCATACTAAATTTAATTTTTTAGGAGATCCAATTTTTTTTAGATTTGATAACCCTTGAATTTTTTTCAAAAAATTGGAAATGTCTGTTTTGCTACCAGAGATGGCCAGAACGATTCGATACTATATTTACAATTTTGTGTAAAATTTTTCTGAAATCGGACTACTATATCATATAGCTCCCATAGGAACGATCGAGAAATTAATACAAGTAATTTTATAACTTTTCAACTTTCAGCTGATTTTCATCAAATTTGAGGTATAGCCATTTTAAATTTGTCTTAAATTTTGTGTCAAATTTCATGAAAATCGGACGACTATATCATATATGTAGGTGCCATCCAACGATCGTTTCATGTAGAGGAAAAATGCAAATCTGTGAATGCAAAACTGCAAATATAATATGTATAGGTAAATGAAATGAAAGCAGGTATTATGTTACTTCATTGTTTTTTTTAACACAAATATATATAATTTATATTGTATGAATTCCAAGTCATAGAAGTTCGATCTGCAAGGGTATATAAACTACGGCGTGCCGAAGTTAGCTTTCGTTCTTGTTTATATTTATATAAATTATTTTATATATTATAGTAAATATTTCAACCCTTCGACATAATTAATTTATAAAAGCTTAACTAAAAGTTTTGTTAGGGGAAAGAAAACAGAATTGGAAAAGTCCCGCAAAAGTTTTCTTCTACAAAATTTTATCAAGGACATAAACTATACGGGTTTTAAAATAACAGGGGATATTTGAAGTTCCCATTGAGCTAGGAACTTTGTATAAGGGTTTTCTTTAAGAATTTGTCTTGTGCAGCGCCACCTGCATGCTGAAGTGGCCTTTAGAACAATAAGTCCTAGACTTCAAGGGGATATTTGAATGTCGAATTGAGCGAAAAACTTGTAATAAAGGCTTTTGTTTTAAGATTAATGATTGTGCAGCGCCACCAGTAAGCTGAACTGGTGCAAAATTCCTAGTACGTTATCCCGGATTGTGCCCCGACGGATGCAATGACGTAGAAGTTAGGGTTCGAAATGACGCCTTCAACACGTTTATAATATTTGTGATATATATATATATAAACATTTAATTTTCAAGAGTATATTTAGATGTATTATTATAAGAAATACAAAATTCAAAGAACTGAAAATATAAGTTGTAAATCATTTAATTATTCTTGCGACAAAATCAAACAAAATAAATAATAAAAGGAACATTTTCATCAGAAGCTGTTTAGTACAAATTGTTAGCAAGGACATAGACCTTGTGAAGGGATATTTAAATGTCCAATTGAACTAAAAGCGTTTCTCACGGGGCTCAAAGCTCAACGCGAAGCTTTTGCGGCGCCACCTGTCTGCTGCAGTGGTGGTGGTATTGGCAGCCCTGGTATTTGCACCCTCTCTCAACCAGCTGAGTTGCTTTGTACAATAGGGGTTGCATTTCAGTCTGCTTTTGCGCATGCGCAAGTTTAACTCTCTCTGTGGCTCTGTTAATCTCGCCCTCCCGCTCGCTCGCGCTCTTTGGCACTCTGCAAATGTCAAAAAGGCATGACTTCAGTTGAGGGCATCCCTATCTCTTTCTCCCTCTCTTCTTTCCAACCAGCTGTTTACGTTTCGTTTTCCTTGTGTTGTGCAGTTTTACCAGTTAATCAGCCCTCAAATAAGCTAGATTTTAAGAAAAATTTGTAAACGATAAATAACAATTAAAAAATTAAATAAACTAAATAGCTACATTCTAATGCAAGAAAACATACAACATTATTATAATTTTTTTTGTTATCTTAAATAATCAATATTGAAAATATTTTAATAGTTTCATTAAATTGAATCATTATTTCTGAGTTCTCAATATAGCAACGGGATATGCATTAATTATTGAGACAATGGAAAGCACAAAAACAATCTCCGAAATTTTCCTTTAAATTAATCGAATACAATTATTTCTAGAATGTGCTAGATAAATATATAATAAATAAATATAATAAGCTTTTTTTAAAGCTACTGCCAATTTTGATATGCTAAATCTAGCCTGACTATGGATAAGGTGGCAACACTGCTTTGCAGCGTTGGCAAAACCCCCCTCCCACACGGTACGCAGAGCGGAGCGCCAGGCAACGGCATAAATAAATGGACATACGATAGCGAGAACAGGCGACAAGGACTAGTCCTAAAAAGTTCCGCGAGTGTCACAGAACGCCAAATAATGTGCATAATTTTTGCGAATTTTTTACGATAATTTACGGGACGCGAAAATTCGATTTCCCCGCACATCTTGTCTGCGGCCTATAAACGCGCGCGTGTTCGACCGATTAGTCAGTTTGTGTGCGTGTTCCTGTGTGTGTATTTTTTTTACGTATGTGTGTGTGTATGTGTGTGTGTGTATGAGTAACGGATAACGGGTAACAACTGAGAGAGTGAGTACTTATTATATAAAGTGCTTGCTTTATTGACAAATTGCCAGTTGCTTTTGATCCTGATTTCCATGCCAATGGATGATGATAGCCTGTAAAAAGTGCTAATTAATTAAATGCTGCCGCACATAAGTATGCTTCAATATTTAACACGCACGCACACATGCGTCGCCATATAGCAACATGTCTTTGGCAATCGCACTTTTCCGAGCGAGAGCAAGCACGAGTCGCCCTGCGAGAGCGAGTGAGTGGGAGGGAGAGAGAGAGAGAGAGAGAGAGCGAGCACTCACAATTTATAAATTTTTATTATTTTGACTCCCGCAACACCACCCTCGACCCCCCCACCACAACCACCTCCTCTCACCCACTCTATGCTTGCGCTCTTTTGCCCTTCGAAATGTCAAAATATTGCAGACAAGCTCTGCACAACATTGCCAGACCCAAATTCGAGTTTCCCTTATTAGTCACATGTTTTCCCAGCCCAGGAGAGACCATTCGAGAGAGTGTTGTGGTTAGGTCTGCAAATATGATCACAGAATTCGTTTCATCTTTAGAAAATGCTCCAATTTTTATTGTTCCAAGTGTATAAGATATTTTCTGACCTTATTTATATACCATTGCAGACATTGCCAGGCTCAAATTGAAATCCCGTTCAAATTGACCGCCACTTGTCGCGCTCTCTCTCCACATTCACTATTCTCTCATTCCCAAGTCCGTTCTCACTTTCCCCATTTCTTTTTTGCACTTTCTCTCGCTGTTGGTTTCCATGTCAGTTAACATGACTGCTGTTAACCTTTGCAGCTTAACACTTTTGCCCTTGCTACGCTAGCAATTTAACCATTTCATATTTTGATTTCAGACTTTGTTTAAGATTCATATGTAAAAACAAATAATTTAATTCAAAATATTATAATTGGGTTCGAAACATTTATAACAATTTAATTCATAAAATCTTAATTTTTAAAATCTTTAATTCGAAATAAAATGGTTTTCTATTGAATTAATATGAGTTTATCACATTTTCTAATTTAGTATTAATATTAGCAATTTAGTTATCTTTAAATTCATGTTGAGAACGCAGTTTATGGCCATCGTAGGGTTAAGCTTAACAGCAGCGCTGCTATGTCCTGCTGTTAGTTAACAGCGCTGAACGCTCCGGCTCCTGGTCCTGTGACACCGTCTCTTTCGCACCACTCAGTTCCTTGGCGGAAGCGTGTTCGTTCATATTTAGTCCTTCTTTGAACGCGTTGTCGACGAGTCACGAGTTCGCAAGCGTACGCAAGGAGCAGAGCTCCCCACTCCTAGTCACATCTACTTTTTTTCCAGTGTCCAAGTGCTTTCAGTGTGCGTGTGTGTGTGTGTGTATGAGTTTGCGTGTGTGTGCGAGTGTGTCTTTGGTGTGTGTGTGTGTGTGTGGCAGCAGGAATAATAACAAACACACACTCAATTTACTCTGTCACAGAAAGGAAGAAATGCGAAATTGCAGTGAAATGTTCACACACAGCTGATCGATTGCTACTCTGCGTGATCCCGTTATGGCTTTCTTTTTTTTTTGTTAACGTTTTAACGTTGTCTCTATGTGTGTGCGTGAGTGTTTATTATGTCTTCCTTTTTGTTATTTTCTCGTGTATTCCTTTCGGTTGTTTCGTTTGTCAAGTGCTAGTGCTCTCTCGCTCTGAGTCAGCAGCGCCTGTCAAGCGGAGGGTTGTTTTTTTCCTCGTTTTTCTTTAACGTGCCGCTCCCCTTCCGCCCTCGCACACCCCCCGCCCCGCTCGTGCTCGTCACTATCCACTATCCACTCTCCACTCCACTTTCCACTCTCCACGTTCCACGCTCCACGCTCCTTGTGTTGCCTTCACAAAAACTTCACTTCCAACAACCACTTGCCGTTCCCGTCGACGTCATCGCAGCCATACAACAAACCGCCGAGACACACCAACCAACCACCCCTCCCCACCCCACTCCACCCCATCCCTAATGTCATTGGCACTTGTTTACCGTTACTCTGTGTGCCTTAAAGTTGTGTGAAAACAAAGAAACCTTGAAGAACAGTTAATAAACTATGGAAATAATATTAGAGAAATGAAAATGAGAAACATAAATATATTGAACTAAGACAATAAGTGAACTGAGAACACCGAGAGAAGTGCGAACTGCGCTGAAAAACGTTGCACTCACCACCGCCTCACGCTCACCGCCTTCACCGCTCACCGCTCACCGCTCGCCCGCTAGTTCACCGCTAATGCCACCGCCCACCACCACTAGAACTACTACAACAACTACTTTCACCACAACCACTAACCACCACCACCAACCAAGAACCAAGAACAAATAACCAATAACCAACCACAACCACCAACTGTCAGCCTAAATCACTTCGCAATAAACAGTAAACAGTAAAGAGTAAACAGTAAACAATCAAAGAAGAAGACAAAAACCAAAAGAAAAGAAAAGAAAAGAAAGAAAGGCATAGCCCCAGAGCCCAGAGCCCAGATTCCGAGTCCATTTTGTCGTTCCAAAATGTTGTCGTCAGTTGAAAAATGTGAGCTCCTTCAAAATGCATTACTAGATGTTCGTTCCCGTACTACCATTATCATATACTATATATATGCATATATAGCATCCCCTAGAACCTCTAGCGTAGCTTTCCCTTTTGGAGAACAACCGGAGAAGACGTTACTAATACTACTACCGATTTGTCTTGTTATGTTTTTTACCTTAGATCTAGATCTCTTGGAAATCTTGAAACTAAACTCTAAACCACATTTCATTCTCTCTATATACTATATACTATATACTATTTCGGTCTGCCTCTTTCTTCATTCTATCTCTCTCACTCTCTGTCTTTCTTGTTCCTGTCTAGTTAAAACATGCCTTAAACTTTTACCCTCCAGCCCACAACTCTGTTAACCTCTCCTGCCAAACAAAACAAAACTTTTACCCAACTCAAGTCTTTGTAAATTGGGAAAAATCGTCTGGGAAAAGCCTCCCGGAAAAGCGAGGAGGAGTTCTCAAGACGATGCACTTGAAAACTTCTACTGATTGGCTGACTGGAACCCCAAACTGTATATATATAAATAAATACCACTATCCTACCAAGATCCAAGTTCCTAACTCTAAACCAGACACTATCGATCGATTTGCTTGCTTCTTAGTCGACCTGCATGCACCCCAAGTCATCGAAATGATCGATTTATTGTTTGTGAATGCCGAACACGTCCAGAAAATACACAGAAAAAAATTAACAGCAAAGCATTGATGCGGCACAACAACCACACACACACAGACTACACACAGACTAAGTGATCGAATCGCAGAAATTACAGTTAATCCAACCTAATTTCCATTACTCGTTACTCGTTTCTCGTAGTTCCCCAGTTCGTTTGATGCGTTCGTTACTTCGTTCGTTCGTTCGTATTCTGTTTGCCAAGTTCAATTTTGTTGTACTCGAATTCCCAACTGGGAAGTCGGCAAGCGAGAAGCCCAAACAAAAAATATATAAAACTGAACAGAAACACCAGCAACTACAGTCTTCAGACAGACAAACAAACAGCTGAATAAATCGAAACCTAAACCCAATCTAAATCTATATCTTATTCATCCAAAACCTAAAGTGTTTCTAACTATCAATTCTTAATGTAAAATTATCTTTAAACTATAAATAAACCCAAAAAACACGAACCACACGAAACCGAAACCAAAATCTAAACCAAATAATCGATTCAAAATCGCAGCCCCAGGCATAACTCCCATTGACCACCAAGCACATGAGCTTGTGGCTAAAGGTAAGCTATAAAATGTCAACAATTACCACTATTATTTATATGTATAAAATATATGTTTGTATATTTAAGGGTATAGTTTTTGGTGTACAAGTAGTTGTGTAATATCCCTTGTAAGTAGTTGACCTCTAAATCTTTATTCTTATAGCTTAATAAGTAAACAAAACAAAGCTATAAAATGCTACTATAACTCCTTGGATTTGTATATCTTTAAATATATATATTAATAAGTAAAACATTAAAACTGGGGGAGCAATAAGCTAAAGACTTTATCCTCTTATAAAACTCACATTGCCGAGTGCAATTTATTATTAATTTTAAACCCCATCTGTTAAGCATAAAACCCTGAATATCCATATTTTTTTATTGTCTCTGCATAATGAAGCGGACTTTTGTGAATAACTTTCATCGGTGGCATAAATAAAACCCTTAAAGCCATGCAACCCGGTTTTGGCTCAAGGGAAATTCCCCCTAAATTATTATCTTCGGTCCCTTCCTGGTTCCGCATTGATTTGTCGCATGTCCGGATGCTGTCCTCTACTGTCTCCACATGGAACTATTCATTTTCAATTATCCTGTTAAATTAATGCCTTGAACACTCGTTCGACCCATCCTCGACTTCCTGTGAGCACATCCCCCATATATATATTAATATATATATATATATATGTATCCTTTGTCTGCGGCATGATTCAGCTATCTGCGGAAAGTTTGCTTTTCTTTTTTTTACACTCACTCGCCGAGTGTGTGTGTGTGTGTATTGCTTTTGTTGCCGGCGACAATTTCAGAGGCAGACGGCGGCTTTGGCTCTAAAATATTGGTTATTAGCATAGCTCGACTGGCCGTATTATGGGGAAGCTGACAAAGCAGCAGCCAGCGCTTTTTGTTGCCTACTTTTTTGGGGTCAGGGACTTGTTTTGTCAGCTCGCTTGCCTAGCAAATTGCCAGGACACACACACAGCCAGTAACCAACCAGTAACCAGTAACCAGTGTATGTCCTCTGTATTCAGTATTCAGTATAGATAGAGCCCGCTTATACATCTATTTATCCGCTACCCACAAGTTTTTATCCCAGCCTGATGCTGCTGCATCTTTTGTGCTGTGAATCATAGCCAAATGCATTGGCCAATGGGGCTGACAATGCACAAAGAGCCAAGCCAGTGGTAAGATAAGTGAGTCCCAGCCCTCAGCCCCACAGTCGCTTTCCACTTTCCACTTGCCACTTGCCACTTCCCATTACCCATTTCCCATTTTCCAGCTTCTGGCCTGCTGTCATCATAGCCCTCTTCTCGTCCTCGTCATCATCATCATCATCATCATCATCATCATCATCATCAGGGTCTATCCCAACCATCCTGTGACAGACAGTTCTGGCTTTTGTTCGATCCGTTCAGTTGAGTTCAGTTCAGCGAGAGCTAATTTAGCGTTAATCGAAGTGTATTTACACTAGTCCCCCCAGCACACACACACCCTCGTCTCTGATTGCATTAACTTGATGGCTGCATTGGCTTGTCACTAATTAGTTTTCAATCCTTCTTCAATCCCGCTTCCTGCGACCCCGAAAAAGCAACAAAACCCAGTGTCAGTCATTGCTTTCGACTTGACAGTAAATGACTTAATGGGGTTACAGCCCCAACTCGACGTCGTCATCCTCATTGCCAGCCACTAAAAAGTAAAGGAAACTCTGTCTTGCCACACTAAATGCACACAGAAACACATATTCCTCATATATTGTGTGTAAGCACAAAAAAAAGGGGACTTTGATTGGATAGAGGAAACCACTAATTAAATGTGTTCTTAACGATCCTGCACATGGTTAAGTCATTTCAGTTAACATAAAAGGAATTTAAGCTTGGTTCTTCGGTCCAAATAAGAGATAAATCTACAAGATAGTAATACATTTTAACTTACTTGGTTAAACTGCAATGTTAACTTAAAAAGAGGTCAGTCTAGCCTTCTATTCTTAGTTCAGAGTTTCCCTTCAAGTGTTGCAATTGCATTTTGTCCACTCTCTTAATAATCCCTATACCCAGACAAGGTCCTTCGTAATCTAGAATGTCCTAGGACCAGGCTTCATTAATTGACCGCAAACAGCTGCCGAACTGAATTTGGGTTTTCTTGGTAATTGGTACACTTCTTGTGACGATTTTGATTCCGATTCTGATTCCGATTCATTTGCACTTGAAGGATGCCCAGAAATGGTCCATTTCCTTGGGCCTTGTCATTTCACCCTCAATGCACTGGAAAATAAATTCCAGTGCAACAATCACAAATAGCTTTCAATCTAAGCGGGAATCGTAAAATGTCAAACATATTGAGAGAGGCAGAACTCTTGCTTTTACGAATGCAAATGGGATTTGTGTCTTATCCTTGAATAAATCACATTTTACAAAAGGATGCAATGATACTCTGGTGCTGGTGCTGTGAATCCTTTTTTTTTTCTTTGTATTTTCTGGCCGTGTTGACGGTGACGGGGTTTCTCTGGCTTTTACATTTGAGTGAGTGTGCGTGGCCAAGTCCGGATGTTGGCATATGGCTCCAAGCTCGATGCAGCTGTGAGTGGAAAAACGTTGCGCATACGCCCCGTGTGCCGGTGTCCCGGAATGCATCCGTGTGTGTGTGTGCTTAACTAATATGCTATGAACGCCGCTTTGACACGTTGCAATTGTCGCCATCGTCCTCGTCGTCGTTGTTGTTCCAGCTCCTGTTCCTGTTTCTGTTCCTGTTTCTGTTCCTGTTTCTGTTTCTGTTCTGGCCATTGTTGTCCTTATTGTTCGCTACATTTGTATGGTGATTCCACACTCTGCACCTTTGCTGCAGCTGGAGGAGCAATAAATGTTTGCTGTGGCCAAATATAGGGGGGCATTGTGCTTGGAAAATGGTAAAAAAAGGAAACAGCAACAGCGGAGCAAGTGCAACATCCTGGTGGAGCCAACACCGAAGTGGAATATACACTCGAGGTGTGTATTTTGAGTGTACTTCCGCGGCAGCTTCTTGGCTTTTCTCTACCGAATATACATAGTTATTTACAGAGTTATTTAGTTGCAAGGTCGGAGTAATGGCTGCATTCCCTTTTTTTTTTTACTCCCATTTCTAGTCTAAATGTTTTAGTTGGTAATCCTGCATTTAACAACCACTTTTTGGCTTTGATATATTATGTCCTTTTTGGCCAATATGCTTAATTTTCAGTGGCAATTGTTATGCCCTTTTTCGCAACATTTCCGTTGAAATGGAGGGAGGAAGGGAGCAGTGAGCAGTGAGAAGATGACCTGACCTGCGAGGATATAAAACCTGCTTAATTTCCATAAACCAACGGCAATGGTTACGAGGCTCGCACACGTGTCCTGCACCTGCATCTGTCTATGTGTGTGTGTGTGTGTTTGTCTTTGTTTGTCAGTGTGAGTGTGCGACAGGTAAGTGAATTTATGTTGCACACGCTATGCGAAACATGCCACTGCATTTGCCCATAAAAACGTGGACGACGGAATCAGGAGCCGGAGCAAATAAGAAGCCTTGCCCCAGGGCTGGCAGCATCCTGGCAGCATCCCGGCATATCCTGGCGCTGCAATGTTGCCCCGACTGGACACAAACACACACACACAAAACTTGGAGAGAAATATTATTTATTGAAGCAAGTCCCCTGCCGTCTACCTGGGACCTGGGTCCTGTGCGAGTGCGAGTGACCCTGTCCCCCAATTCAACCAATTCACCTGCTGCATTATCCCCATTTCCACAGCACTTTGGCCATTTCGGTTTGCCATTTCGGTTGGCCCCACTCGTGCACTGAGAGAAAAGTGTTAGAAGAAAGAAAACATTTAACTTCAAGAAAACAGAACATGTATACACATTGCAGGTGTATATATTTTCTTTTTAAGTAGCAGTTAATAATACACGTTTACCAAGATTAAAGGGTATTGCGGAAAAAATAAGCTAATTTAGATAGCTGGATATGTGCAGATAATTGAAATTATATTAAAAGTTGTAAAATATATATATTTATACCTATTCAGGTATTAGAATTTTAGCCAAAAGCTTTTAACTATGTGAAGGAATCATTTCCGACACTATAAATCATATATATTCTTGATCAACATCAACAGTTGAATCGATCTAGCCATGTTCGGCAGAAAAAAAAATGTACAAATTTTATTCAAAATTTTATAAGGGGTTACATCATTAATATTTTCTAAAATTGACAAAAATTTGTATTTTTTTTAAATTCACAATTGAGTAAGCAGTTTTATTAACGTAATAAAATCAGTTTAACAAATTAAAATGAATGCCTTTTTGGCTAAGTTATGATATTTTCAAAACTTTGATTTAGTGAAAAAATTGTCACATAAAAATATCCATAAATATAAATATTCAAATTTAAGCTTAGTTTAAATTGATTTCTTATACAATTCTATAATTCGATTGTAAACTGTTCGGCTTCCCGAACTTAGTTTCCTTTCTGGTTTTCGTTTAAAATTTGAATTAAAATTTGTTTAAATTTAAAGTAAAAACTTCAAACAAAACAAACACATTGGCATTGTTTTGTATTTGTTTTGAAATTAATCATTTTGAATGTTATTTGTTATTATTATTATTATTTTATTTATGTATTTATTTAAGCAAAACCGTGAAGGGAAGTTTTAAAGAAAAGACTGCAGACTTACTTGAACAAAACAAACACATTGACAGTTTATTGTTATTTTGGAAGTAGTAGTGTATTTACAAGATCTCATTTATTAATTAAATAATTGTTAAATATTATTTAAGAGAAGCAAAGCCCTGGGGAATCGTTTTAAAATTAAAGACTGCAGACTTACAGACAAATAGCCTTTTGTTCTTTGGAGTTTCTTAGAGTTCAGACCTTAAAATTGGTGGTTCAAGATGTTAAAAAGCTATTTCTTTAACTGGGAACCCCATATAATAATTACGTCATTTTTAAATGAATAAAATATGTATTTAATCTCAGTGCATTTGTCATTCCAACCTTTTTGCACCCCCTCGCTGCTTGC